TGTGAGTGTGTGTGTGGTGTGTGTGTGTGTGTGTGAGAGAGAGAGAGAGAGAGAGTGAGCGTGTGTGTGAGTGAGCGTGTGTGTGAGTGAGCGTGTGTGCGCATGTGCGTGTGTTTGTGTTTGTGCATGTGTAGCCCTCGTTGTGTCCCGTCTTTGCCCGTTGGTACTGTTGCTTTCTGGTTACCATCCTGTTGGAGGTGCGGGGAGCAGTAGGGGAGTGGCGGCCACAGCGGCGAGCGCGGCGGTGGCGGGAGCGATGGCCGGCTGCAGCCGCGGCATTCTAATCGCCGGGGCCACGAACCGGGCACGGACGCAGATGGCGGAGGGCATTTTGCGCCGCCTGACGGCGAACACGGTGTTCGTCAAGAGCGGCGGCGTCCACCACGAGGCGACGGTCCACCCGCTCGCCGTCAAAGTGATGCGCGACATCGGCGTAGACATCAGCGGTCAGTCCGTCTCGTCGCTCGAAAGCGCCCGGCGGCAGCGCGGCACGTACGACGCGTACATCAGCATCGACTGCAGCTACGACCGGCGCACGACGGGAACGGCGCAGCGGCCGCCTGCCGGGGTCGAACGGCGCGTGCGGGAGGCGCAAGGGACTGCCAGCGGCGCGACTGCTGCTGCTGCCGCTGAGCAGGAGGAGGCGGAAGAAGGGGATGCGGCGTACTACGACCCCCTGCTTTTCCCCGGCACGCCGTCGCACTGGGAATACGGCGCTGATGCGACGGACGCCCGGCGGCGCTGGAAGATCTGGAGTCCACGCGACCCAGCGATATTCCACGAAAACTCCACACGTAAGTTTCAGGACCACTTGTATGCGGGGGAGCCGCTCTTCATGCAGCTGCACACGAGCGTCGCACGCGCCGCGATGAAGGTCTCGGAGCGGTGGGAGATGGATGAGGTCGCCACCCGCCACGCGCTTGAGCGCCGCGGCGAGCACGAGGCCCGCTTCCTGCGGGCGCGGGATGAGCTGCTGCGGCGGTGTGCGGCGTTTCTGTTGCGGCTGGAGCAGCACTACGGCGAGAGTCTCCTGCTGGACGCAGAGGTGCTGCGTAAGCCGCCCCCTGCCGCGTAGTGCGACGGCGTACGTGGCGTTGGCAGGCGTCGTCGTTGCCTGCCTGCCTGCCTGCTTCTTTCTGACGATCATTGCTCCCTTTCCTCCAGTCGCGGTATGGTGTGGCGCCGCTGCGCACTTGCTCGGTGTATTTTATGCGCATACTTTTCTCCATTATTTATGCACTTCTTTTTTATTCTGCTGCTTTTTCTTTCCCCCTCCCCACTTCTATTTCTTTTTTTTTGGGCGACGACACCACCTCTCGCGTCCCCCGCAACTGCTCAGTCGCCTTCGCTTTTGTGTGCCCGCCGCGCCTGGTGCCATGTACAACGGCCTCGAGGCCATCAGCGTGAAGGGGACGGGCCTCAGCGGCTACGTGCAGCGCAGCAAGGCGGCCGTCTCGCAGCTGGCGAAGTTTACCCCGGCGGAGTACGCCGATGACGCGCCGCCCGCCGCCGTCAACCCGCTCGAGGCGCTGCGCTCGGCGAAGGAGAACAGGGAGCTCGCCGCGCGGCTGCAGCGGCACGAGGCGCTGCGCAGCATCCAGCTGAAGGTCTGCACGTACCGCGAGGAGCGCGCGGCCGGCGGGGTGGCCGTCGACGTCGTCGACCGCGAGTGCCGGACGCTGTACGACTCGCTGATGCGCAACTACCTGGACGCGGAGGGAGAGGCGCGGCAGGCGGCGGCGGCGGCGGAGGCCCAAAAAACTGCTGAGCGGTTCGCCGCCGCGTTTCGCGTGAGGCCGGGGGCAGCCGGTGAGGCCTTCGACCGGGTGCAGCGCGAGGCGGAGCGACGCGCGGCGGAGGAGGAGCGTCGAAACGCGTTGGAGCAGAAGATTGCGGAGCGCGTGAAGCGCGTCAAGGGGGAGACGGGGCGAGGTGGGCGCTGAGGCGGCAACGAGGAGAAAGACAGACAGACAGACCGACGGGCGCGAGAAGAAGTGGGAAGGTTGCCGTTGAACGGTGCTTCTTTTTAGCCCAGCGAAACGGCAACATGGCGGGAGACGCCGGTGCGGTTCCATGCGCCACTATTGTCCTGCATCACCGCCTTTTGCCCCCCACTCACTCACTGTAGATATATACGTCTGTGTGTATGGTTGGTTTCTTCTGTTTTTTTTTTCATTCATCTCACTGAAACAACGCGCACTGGCATGCACACAATAATAATACACATCGGCGCACGTATAAAGGGATCTTACCATGCAGCAGCAGCAGCAGCAGCATCCAAGCGAGTTTCCTGGCATCGTCAATGCGCCGAGGGAGTCGGATTGGGCGACAATAGACTGGATCAGTTCACAGCACGAGGCAAGCGAGCGGCGCACGGCGCTGTACCACCGATCTCGTGGAGATTCCATTACGGCCCGTACACGAAGTGCACTCACGCACAATGAGAGTTTTCTTTCCGCGTTTCTGACAGGTCTTGTTTTGGGACTCCTCGGCGTTTTTTGTGACGCCTGCTCGCATTGGGTGTCGGCGTTCCGCGTGGGCATCTGCGCCAGCTTCTTCTGGCTTGGCCGTAATCTCTGCTGCGTGGAGCAGGAGACTTGCGCCGGGTACTACACTTGGGGTGAGTTCTTGCTTGGCCGCGACGACCGCGTGGCGGCGTTTGCCGACTTTTGCTTCTACGTCCTTCTTTCCACCTTCGCCGCGATGATGGCGGCGTTTGTGTGCAAGGTGTACGCCCCCTACGCGGCGGGTGGCGGCATCAACGAGGTGAAGACGATTGTGTCAGGCCACCACGTCAGCCGCTACCTGGGCGGCTGGACGCTGATCACGAAGGCGATTGGGATGAGCCTCTCCACCGGCTCCGGCCTCGTGGTGGGGAAGGAGGGGCCCTTCGTGCACATCGGCGCCTGCGCGGGGGAGATGATTGCCCACCTCTTTCCCAGCTATCGGCTAGACGCAAAGAAGCGTGAGCTGATCACCGCGGGCGCGGCGGGCGGCGTAGCCGTGGCCTTCGGGGCCCCTGTAGGGGGTGTTATCTTTGCCCTGGAGGAGATCTCCAGCTTCTACAACTTCAAGGCGATGATGGCGGCCCTCATCTGCGGCGTGACGGCGGTGCTGCTGCAGTCCCGCATAGACCTCTGGCACACCGGCCGCATTGTGCAGTTCAGCGTCAACTACAAACACAACTGGCAGTTCTTTCAGCTGCCGCTCTTCGCCCTGCTGGGGGTGGTGTGCGGGTTTCTCGGCTCGCTCTTCAACGCGGTGAACATCCGCATCATCCGCTGGCGCAAGCGGCACCTCAAGATGTGGCGGGTGACGGAGGTGGCCGCCGTGGCAGCCGTCACCGCCGTCTGCAACTTTTTCACGCCGTACAGCTCGGGAAGCCTCTTGGAGCTGCTTGCGGACGCCTTTCAGGACTGCACCCCGCATAGCACGATTGAGCTCTGCCAAGACGGCAACGTGCGGACCTTTGTCTACCTCCTCATCACGGCGACGGTAAAGCTGGTGCTCTGCATGTACACGATAGGCACATTTCTTCCCTCCGGTATCCTCGTCCCGTCCCTCGCCATCGGTGCCTTGTACGGGCGAGCCTTCGGCATCCTCTGCCGGGCCCTGCAAGAGTCCTACGCCAGCTCCTACATTTTCGCGGAGTGCTACAACCAGGACCTCTGCGTTATACCAGGGATGTACGCCATTGTAGGCGCGGCCGCCATGCTGACGGGCGTCACGCGGATGACGATATGCCTCGCAATTATCATGTTTGAGTTGACAGGCTCGCTGGACTACCTTGTGCCGGTGATTATTGGCATTCTCTGCGCCAAGGCGGCCGCGGAGGCGGTGGGGGTGGAGGGCACCTACGAGCTTGGCATTGCGGAGAACAACCTGCCCTTCCTCGACCCGAAGAAGGAGTGCCACGTCGACGCCGTCGCCGAGGACGTCTACGCCCGCCGCAAGTTTACCGTCCTCACGGCGTACGGCTTTACCGTGGGGCAGCTGAATCAGCTGCTGCACGAGATGGAGGTGTCCGGCTTCCCCGTCGTGCACTCGCTCAGCGACATGACGCTGATGGGCTACGCGCCCGCCAAGAAGATTGTGCGTGCGATTCAGGTGGCCGCCGCAAAGGACAGCCGCGTCGACTTTGACACCCTCGTCCGCTTCACTGCGGCGCCGTCGCCAAACCTGGCGGAGGGGCAACTTGAAATCAACCTCACCGCCGTCGTGGAGAGCCCCATGCTGCAGGTGGAGCCGGAGTGCCCGGTGTCGCGCATGCTGTACCTCTTCAAGTCTCTCGGGGTGCGCCACATCATGGTGTGCCGCCGCGCGAAATTCGCCGGGTACATTAGCAAGAAGGACTTTGTGAAGTTTCTGCGCGGCGCCGAGCGGGAGGAGCACGTGGAGCCGGCGTAGACTCGCTGGGGGGGGGAGGGGGGAAGGCGTGGCGAGCCGGAGAGGACGCGGCACATGACGCCGGAACTCGTCGCCGGACGGGAGGCTACGGCGGATGCCGACTGGACGCCAAACACATTGCACACACACACACACACA